AAAACAAATGCGAATATTCAATTAAGAAACTAAAAAAATAATGAACATTACATATATTTAATACAAAAATTCAAGAACTAGGAATGAGATGTAAATCTTTAGTTAATAAGGTAAAAAAAATCAATTTTAGTATGCAATATTAGTGCAAAATCCTACTAAATATATTATTATTATTATTATTATTATTATTATTATTATATATAATTTTTTGGTTAAGAGTCATCTTATTGCACAAAGAATCATATTATCCATTCTACACATCATTTACCTTACAATTCCTTTTCTACTAATAATTTAGGTGAATTTACATAAAAACACAATTTTTATAATATAATCGTCACTTCTAGAAATGGAAAATTGATGGGATGAATATAACATATAATCGCAAATTATGAATATAACATAATTTAGTCTAATTTAGGGTGATTTGCAGCTTATGTGGCTTCACAGAGTATCTTATTAGTTATTCTAGTGGAAAAACTAAGGAGGTTTTTTGTTTGGGGTTTTGAATGACGTTTTAAGACATTGTAAGATTTGAGACTTTAAGATTTTGAAATCTTAAGTTTGGAGGTGAGATTTGAAGTGAGGTTTTGTATATGGTTTTTTGTTTTGAAATCTCAATAAATCTTAAAAAGTCATAACAAAACTCATTCTCAAATAAGTTAAATACCTCAAGTTTTCGTAAGAATTTTAAAATTTTTAAATAAATACCTCGAAACTTTTAAAAGCCTTAAAAAATCTAAAAAAAGTGTATTCATTTGAAATTTTAAGAGACATTTCAAGGCTTTTTGAAATTTTAAACTTTTGAAGTTTTTGAGATTTAAGAGTAATCCTTGGAAATCTTAAGTTTGGAGGTTGATTTGGGGTGAGATTTTGTATAAGGTTTTTGTTTGTTAAATGTCAGTAAATCTTAAAAGTCTTAGTAAATTTCATTGTCAAATAAGTTAAATACCTCGTAATATGTCAAGACTTCTCGAAATCTCAAAAGAATACCTCATGACTTTTAAAAGATTTAAATCTCAATACCAGGATTCTTGAAGTCCCAACAAATCTTTAAGAATCTCAAATGAATGCAACCCCTAAATTAACCACCTCACTAGCAATACAATACTAGTACGGATCACCTGCGATGTAATTAATATTAAATAAAACGATGTATATTAAATCCTACTGTAGATTATCTACACAAAACTAATCTACATGTATATCTATAATAAAAACTACTGACGAAACCATTCCGTCAACGAAATTGTAGTATTTTCCATTATTTCAGTATATAGATAGAACTTTTCCCTCATACCTGTTGTACCAAATATCTTACTTATTTGTACAAAAACAAAAAAAATATCCTACTTATCAACCACATAAAAAAATTGCATGCGCCCCAAATGTAGAGAAAATTACAACATAGACAATTGTTTGACATACATTCAAAAAAAAAAAAACTTTGACCCCTCATAAACCGCCTAGAGACCCCTTAATTATTCAATGGTCTCAATTCCAAAACATTTCATATTCTTTTTTTTCTTTTTCGCCTCGCCCCCATAGAATCACCTCTTTATCCTCGTGTTACCCTCCATTTTCTGGGCCCTCCTCTCTCCCAGTTCATGCATGAATTTACAATTTATTCCCTTTGTTTTCCTTTTTCTTGTAAATAATAGTAATAATAATAGTTATGGGGTGCAGTGTTTCAAGGTTAGATTCACACGGGCACCCGTTCTCGGCTAGGCTCCGCCCTCTCCTCCTTCAGCGATTCGATGAGATGAAGGCCCGTCGCCATCATGTGGGCCACCCTCTCAAGGACACAACCCCTTCCAAGAAAGAGCTTCTATCTTCGGATGATATCGATAAAAACACCGACGAATATGAGATTAATAACAATCATAATAATAATGATGGGCGCTATAAAGCTCATGAGGCAAAAGACGATGATGTTTTCATGGATGCAGATGATGATGTGGAAGATGATGATGAGAGCGATAGTGAAAGCGAGAGAAGGATCGGACATAGAGAAGAGGATGCATTTCCAGGCTCTCCTAGTTTTCGTGTTTATTTTAAGGATAATGAAATAGAGGATAATGGCCATGTTGGGATTGGTAATTAATTATTAAGGGCATATAGTTGATTTTTGGTTGTGTAT